CCTCTCCCTCCCTCCCCACCTTCCGGCATCCTCTCTCCCTCTCTCTCTCTCTCTTTCCTTTTCTCTACTCTCCCATCTCCCTTTACCTCTTATTCTCCACCCTCCTCCCCCAGCATCCTTCTCTCTCTTTCTCTCTCCCCTCCCTCCTATTACCCCAGACCCGCACCCCTTCCTCCCTCCCTCACCCACTCTTTCCTGTCCCTTTGCTGGGGGAGCTGCCTGAAAGCCACCCTTCCCCTCCCCCATTCATTCGGCCTCCCCAGACCCGTCGGGGAACTTTGCGCCTCTGGACTCCATTGCTTTGGTCATTTTCACAAAGCCAGGCCGGTGGGGCAGGTCCGGCTGGCCTCGGGGGACACACGGATGCCCAGGACCCCAGGCTAATCGGTAACTACAAAGAAAACAGAAGGGGGATGGGGGGCACAGGGAGCTGAGCCAGGCTTGGGGGACAGCCAGCCTTGGGTGGTTCAAATGCTACCGTTCTCCCTCCCCCCTGCCCACCTTCTCTGTTTGGATCAGCACTCCCCCCTCCATTTCTCTGCCCTCCCCCTCCCTGCCTCCACCTTTGGCTCAAGTTAAAACTGGCCAAGGCTGTTAGCAATGTGTTGAGGTCTGAGGCCAACGATGATGAGCCTGGACCGTCCATCTGGCAGAGTCCAGATCCTAGGGTGGACAGGGGAGGCGTGGGAGGCCTGCGAGCCCCGCGGAGGAGGCAGGTGGGGTGCGGAAGCCTGCGTGCCTCCCTCCCAACTGATTCTGTCTCTGATGGTATGCTGGGAGCAGGTGCCCAGGGACTGTGGCCCCAGCCCTGGGCTTAGATCATGGGACGAGTCTGAATTGGGGTGGCTTTGACAGCTCTCCTGTTGGGTGTTGGAGACTGGGGGTGGGGATGGTGGAGGCTTTGTACTGGACACCCATGGCAAGACCCTGGAGGGGCCTTCGGAGTGGACTGGGGCCTATGACCTATTTCAGATCCATTTATCCCCATCATCCCCTCAGTGTTGCTGGCATGATAATCATGAATATGTTTGTTGAATGAATGAATGAATGAATGAATGAATGAGTGATAGGTGGGAGCAGGCTATTGAGAGAATCTGGTAGGACAGAACCCAGGCCTTTCATTTCAACTAGACCCTCCAGCTGGTACCCTGGGGAGAAAAGAAATCCCCCATCTTTTTTCAAATCCAACCATCATCAAAAAAAACCAAACATGGCTTGGAAAATCTAACTCTTCCATGTGGCCTAGGAGTGCAGAGGGTTCTCTCTAGCCCATGAGTCCAGCTCAGGGTTCCACACTATATAGAGGCTCTATCCACACGACCTCACCCCCTGGTATATTGGAAGGGCCAATTTCTAGAAAGATTCTGATGGGAGTGTGGGAAGGTGTCCACGTGGCCCCCCAAATGTTGAAAGGCTGCTGGAGAGCTCTGGGTCAGGGAAACAGATGGGCTACAGAGGTACCCTCTTTCTCATTTTTAAATCTCCCCTGGAAAGAGCCCCCCGCCAAGCAAGGAGAGGTGGGGGTGGGGACTGTGGCTGAGTGTTCACCTGGGCCAGAGCCTCAGCTTACTTACTCCTCTGTCCGCAGAGCAGGGCCCCATGAATGTAGGGTTATTTTTTTCTGGCTGGAAAATGTTGGGGAGGGGGGGCGGTGTCTCAGGGTCTTTTCCATTCTTTCCTTGGAGGCTGAACATTTAGGAAGCAGGCTGTCCATGACACCCAGTTGTCACCCTCCTCTTCACAGGGGCCCTGGGCTAGTCTGAGCCCTGGATGCAGGGCTTGAGGGCCCCTGAATGCTGGGGGATCCCATGAAGCTCAGCATCAGGGCAGCTGAAAGGGCCAGAGAAGGTGAAGTAAAAACATCCACTGTGGTCACTGTGACCTCCCAGTGTCATAATTATCTTCATGACCATCTCATCCTGGATTTCCACATTCAGGGGCCTGTTTGGTCTCCCATCAAAGGGATTGCCACTGAGGGGGGCTTGCAAGCATCAGCACATTCCATATAAAAAGGAAACTGAGATCCAGAGGGGCCAACTACTGGCTCCCAAGGACCAACCAGAGCTGCCCTCCCCACTGTCACCCACCTGTCTCCCTCCCAGACCAGGGGAAGCAGAAGTAAATGTGTGTGAGGAAAGGTTCCACCAAGCTGAGAGTGAGGCTCCTCAAAGATGTGGGGGAGGGGACTGTGACATCTGAGAGCCACAGCCAATAGTGGGACAGGGGCACCCCAATTCCTAAGGGCCTGTGCAATGGGGTCTTGCTGGGAACAAGAGAAAGGCAGGGGATCCAGCGGAACCCTTGAGCTCTGGGGATTGGACAGGGGTTGGGGGAGAGAGCAGGAAGTGAGGGGTCCTCAGAAAGAGAGCAGGCCCATGGCTGCTGACTTTTTTTGTTTTTAAGAGAATAGATAGAGACAGAGGGAGCAAGAAAGGGAGGGAGAGACAGAGGGCCTCAACCCCCTCTACCCCCCCCACCCCACCCCACACACTCAGGGAGAGGCAGAGAGAAGCTGGGAGTCAGGGAGAGAGATGGAGAAGGGGGAGCAGGGAGGCCACTGACCGCTTCCCACTCCCATCCCCCAGATCTGTGCTTCCTTCAGAGGAAGGGGACCTCCCCCAGTTCCCCCAGTCCAGCTAGGGGCTCAGGCCAGGAACTGGGGGCTTGGATGGGGCTCCCAGTGGCTGGTGTCCAGTCATCACCCACCTCCAGTGCCCAACAGGCCCCCTCCAGGACTCTCCCTCCGAGGGGGTTGGGTGCCTGTAGGGGCCCTGAGGTGCCCCCTCCCCTGATCAGAGCTGAATATTAATGCCCACCCTGGCGATAGGGCTCGCTAGCCGCTGCCGTGCTGCCCCCCATTTATGGTAATCGCATATGCATTTGCATGTTAATGACAATATTTGTTTTAGAGCGGAGGTTGCAAGGGGGGAGTCGGTGAGGTTGGGGGGGGAGGTCTGGGGGAGCTTGTGGTTTCCATGGGAGCACCAGCTGCTCTGCTCAGTGGCAGGAGGGGAGGCTGGAGCACACTGAGGCGTGAGATTCCCAGTGTGACGTGCCAGCCCCAGGGAGACAGTGGGCTAAGCTGCTGGCAGGCACTGCCTGGCGGGGGACCCAGGAAAGAGTCGCTTTCCCTGACGCAGCATAGGGGACAGCCGCTGGGGAGGGGGGTGGGTGTGAGCCACTGGGGCTGGCTGTATGACTTTGAGCCAGGCACACCCCGCTCTGTGCCTCAGTTTCCCTAGCCTCTCATTCTTTATTGATTTAACAGGATTTTATGAGCCCCCCCCCACCGAGGCCTTACACATACTGTGACATCATTTCTGCCCTCCTTCAGGCAGAGGACATTGATTGAGCACCTACTGTGTGCCTGCATTTGTGCGGAGCAAGCATTCCATGCAAACAGGAATCTATGTGGGAGTAAGCAAGACATGAATCCATCTACCCATGTGACCAACATTTATTGAGCACTTGCTGTGTACCAGGCCCCATTCTAAACCCAGGATACCCCTCCCCCCCAGAACCCTCCTCAGCCCAGGACCAGTCTGGTGGGGGACACAGTGAGGAGCCAGGAGGTTGCAAGGTGATGATGTCAAGGCTGCAATGGCGGAAACATACACTCCAGCAGGGACAACCCAGAGGAGGCCCTGCCTCTGCAGGTGTAGAGGCCAAGAGGGCTTCCTGGAGGAGGGAGTCAGTGTAGGGGAGCGGTTAAAAGCTTGGTGTTTCTCTGCATCTCACCGGCTATGTGGACTTGGGCAGGCGTCTTTGTCCAACCTAAGTGTTGTCATCTATAGATGGGGAGCTTATTGGGGCCTCCCATGTCAGAGGGGGTTGGGAATGTGAGGATGGGAATGGCAGGTAAAGGTTTTAGCATGCTTGGTTCATGCTTGGTCAGCGGGAGTTGGGCGTATTATGTGAGAAGGATCTGTTGATGGGAAAAGGTATTCCTGACAGAGAGAACAGCATGTGCAAAGGCCCAGAAGAGCACTAACTCTGGAAGCTTCAGGTAGGGGAAGGATGGAGCTTTTGCCCTGGTGGGAAAGAAGAAAAGGGTCATGGGAGCCCCAGGGTCCCCTTCTAATGTGGGGCTTACATGGCAGGGCTCTTCTGAGAGGTTCTGGCATTGGGAGTGGACCCAGGAGCTATCTCTGAAATAGGTTCATGTCTCTCTTTTTCACCCCTGCTATTGGCAGATGAGAACCTAGCCATCATGAACACTTAGTAGGACCACACTCACTCATTCATTCATTCACTCACTCACTCACTCACTCACTCACTCAGTCAATACTTCCTGAAAGCAGTTTGGAGACTTGCCTTCTACTGGACAAAAGGTCCAAGGGTCCTCTGTTAGAGGTAGACATTGGCACCTACAGCCATAGTGGTCAGGGTTGGGTCTGAGGGAGTGATGCAAGGTTGAGGAATCTGGAGAGGGAATCAGGGACTTTGCCTGGGGAATCCAGTTGCATGGAGGAGGGGCATTAGAACTAGGCTTTGAAGAATAAATAGGAGTTTGCCAGGAGGAGAAAACATTTCATTTATTTATTCACAGAAGCACTTAACTGTGTTCCAGGCCCTATGATAGGTGTGAAACACAGCAGTGAGTCAGCTAGGTGGATGTTTCTGTCCATATGGATATGGGCAGAAGGAACTGGGTTTGCAAAGTCCTGGAGATATGAAGGGGCTCAGCT